GCTACAGGCAGCTGTGTCGCCGATGTGAGTGCTGGGAAGTAACCAGGGTCCTTTGCAAGAACAGCAAGTGTCCCTAACTGCATTTTATTTCTTCTTTAATATTTATTTATTATGCATACAATGTTCTGCCTGCATGTGTCCCTGCAGGCCAGAAGTCGGCACCAGATCTCATTACAGGTGGTTGTGAGGCACCAGGTGGTGGCTGGGACTTGAACTCGGGACCTCTGGAAGAACAACCAGTGCTCTTAACCGCTGAGCCATCTCTCCAGGCCCTGCAATTTATTTCTTATCGTGCTAAAATACATTAGGCAATTTGGGTACTTACTCACCCATGCTGTAAATCTTTAAAACGCTTGGTGAATAGACCTACAAGTCAATATGAACATGACTTCTGTCACAGATCAATCAACAGAGGTAAAATCTTGGCTAACAGAGTATGTTGATACAACAGAACGTATCTCTGCAACTTCATTGAAAAGCAGTAATAAGAATGAATGAAATGTTTACAACGGTTGATTCCAAGGACTCGGAGAATGGTAGGGGAATGAGTATTTACACTCAGATTCTAGTTTTCTTCTTCGAAGAGGAGCGTATTATCTTTTCAATTCAGGCAAACTTCCAAAGTCATTTTTAAATATCATTGTTTAACCCTACAGTACTAGCAGCCATGAATGAGATGCCAAATTTTTTGACACATGATAGGTGATAAATATATAGATTATGTGACATTTATAGTGCTTTGCAATAAGTTTAATACCTTGAAATATTCATCGCAAATGTTCGTCATGCTTTCTCTGGTTCCCCCGACTTTGTAATTCTTGTGTAAATTTCTCCTCACAATCACTAGCTTTATGAAACTACATCCTCTTGTTCACAAACCATATCATTAGAGAACTCTAATAAAAAAAAGGTAGCCTATCATGGCATGTGTGTGTATGTGTGTGTGTGTGTGTACACATGCGTGTGTATGTGTGTGTGTTTCAGGTTAATTGCCAATATTTAAGAATTCCGGATTCTGTCAACAGAGGGCCAAGTCACATGACAGTAGGTCACATGCACGTCCCTGAGAGCCCTGACCATACCTTGCTCCCTACTAACAGGCCTTGGGTGTGGGTACCATCAGAATTCCTGGTGCACTGTTTTTTTTTTCTTTGTAATATACTGGAAAGTAACTTCTTACTGGAAAGTAACTTCTTACCTGCACAAAGGGTAAAGGTTATTGAATATCACACCTGTTGAGTTTGTTACTAGCAGCTGGGGGACAGGTAGGGGAAAATGGAGGAATGGAAGTTTATTTGTTTGAAAATAAAATGAAATGAAATGGATTAGAAAGAGTATTCCATTTCCCCCATCATTTTTAGAATCTAGAGGGATGGAAAAAAAGGAAGACTAAGTAGATGAGCAACAATCAGAGAAGAGGAAGGGGGTCAGATGGAAGGAAGGGGAGGCAGAAAAGCGGGTGGATTGGTGGATAGGACCCTGCTCTGCATATACCTGAAATCATCACAACAAACCGTATTGTTTTATGCAAGTAATGTAAATTAATAAAAGACAGGAAAAGCGAGGGTTTCTCCACTGTGCTTGAGATAAAACTAAACGAGTTTGCGCCAAAAGAAAGAGCTTAAAAAGCCTACAGAAGATGGAAAACACATGAAAAAAAAAACCCATAATGAATGTGTTTTCAAGTGGATACAAAATGGGAAATTATTTCTAAAGTATAATTACATACAAAATAAAAGAATATTTTCCTACTTCGAATTCACTGTGCTGTACTCTCCCACTGACCCTGCAGGATTTGGAGCTATTTCTCTTTGGGGGAGCACGCCTGGAGTCAGGGTCCTTTTCTCTTCCCAGTCGCTCAAGCCTGACCTAATTTTAAATCCTCAGGCAGTAAACAGCAAAAACTCTCAAGGATCGCAGTCGAAATTCCCTTCATTTTCCTCCTCTTCCAGCTCAGCACAGGCGCCATAGCCTGCAAAGATAAGCGTGGTGGCCGTAAAATTTCTGTTAACCCACAACTCCACGCTCCTTCCTCCTCCCCCGGGGCCTCTCCTTGAGGGTCCAGCATTTGGCAACGTGCCCATATCAAGAGCCTGAATCTTTTCCGGCTCAGATGGTTCGATCCATTGCACCACGTCACAGCCCTTCAGTTATGGCTGCGATCTCTCAGGGCAGGTATCTAACCCCAGCTTGACCTCTGTGGGAAGGGGGAGAGGACCCGGGCAGGACTGCAGTCAAGGCCAGCTTAGCTGGCGTCTGCTGTCTGTGAAAACTCCAGATCTGTAGCTCTAGGGTGATGCCGGAAGCTCTCAACCTTAGGGGCAAGGAGATCTTTATCCCCTATGATTTCTAAATTTAAATTCATCAGACCTGATCACGCCTTGGGGCCTAGATCACGTCTTCAATAAAGGATAGCTGAATATGTTTCTGAGTGTGTTCCTACTCACAGAGATCAGACATCTCCTGCGTTCCTGGGGTCCAATCTCTTGAAATACCACCATCCTCAACGGCTCCATATGGCCGCACTTGTCCGGTCAGGGAAATACCGGGATAGTTAGAGTTGGTTTTCTAATATTACCTCCAAGTTACAGGAGGGAAAGTACAACCTCAGAACTCGCCATGACTGATTCAAAGTCAAAGAACGTGCACCGTGCTCTGGGCTTCCTGCACTCTTATACAGGATACCATAAACTAATAACGCAGGACACAAAACTGGTGCCCTTTATAGAGAAAAACACATAGCTCACCAACTCCAGCCGTACGGGGAAGGAACCAGCATAGGACCTAAGTAGTCCCCCTGAATGTGGGTGACAGTTGTATGGCTGGGGCAGACTGTGGGGCCACTTCCTACTGCTTGTATTGGTTTTTTTGGGAACCCATTCTTTTTGGATGGATATGAGGGCCTTGAACCTTCCCCAAAGCAATGTGCCTTACCTTACCCTCTGAGGAGTGGATGGAGGGTGGGATGGGGGGGGGAGGTGGAGGGGATGGAAGGAGGGGAAGGAGTGGGAACTGGGATTGGTATGTAAAATGAAAAAGGATAGTTTTCTTTTTTAAAAAGTTAAATAAATAAATAAATAAATAGGTCATATTATCCAATACAGATGTCCTATAATAAAAACAAATAATTAGCCCCAGGAATCAGCACACGGGGCTACATGAAGTTAAAAGTTCCTACACAGCCAAAGAAGTTATCAGCGGGGTGAACGACAGAAGAACCAGTCACTCTTCAGACAGGGAGCTGACATCCAGAGTTTGCAAAGACGTGCAAACATTAACCACAAAACCTCTAATCTGCTGACTGAGGAATGGGCTACCAAATAATGCCCCTCCCTCCCAAAGAAGAAACATCAATTGCAAAGAAGAATTTCAAACTGTGTTCAACATCCCCCGTCATCAGGGAAGTGAAGATTATACATATCTGAGATGGCGCCTCACCCATCAGGACAGCCTTCAGGTAGCAAACACTGGCAAAAGGATGTGGAGAAAAGGGACCCTCGTTCACTGCTGGTAGGAGTAGAAACTAAAATAGCCATTCTGTCTGCCATGATGGATCCAGAACTGCCATGGGAGCCAACTATAGCACACCAGGGCATGTCCCCAAGGACTCTATATCCTACCATAGGTAGCCGCGCACCCCGACTCATTACCGCTCTCTCCACAACAGCAAGGAAGTGGAAATAACCTACATACATGTCCATGGGTAGATGAGTGGAAAGAGAAAATGTGGCCTATCTACACAACAGATTCCTCTCTTCATAAAGATGGAAAAATTTGAAAATTTCAGGGGAAAAAAATGGATCTTTGTGGGTCTAGATATGAGTAAAACTTACAAAGGAGGAAACCAAGGCATGGTCAGGTGGTGAGGAAGGTCAAGACATGGTCAAAAGGACATAGAAAGAGGGAAAGTTACTGAAGGAGCAAGGGAAGAGGTCAGTGGTGAAGGATGGGGAGGAGATAAGCAATTGACTATGGCATACACTGTTCCAAAGGCCATCATGACACCAAATGCCTTATATGCTAGTTTTTGAAATAAGTAAAAAAAAAATAATAATCATTAGAGAACCCAACTCAGTAAAGAGAAATTAAGATTTTCAAAACATTTTATATAGAAACGTTTTGTGAAGATTTTACAACATAGTAAATCATGTCATACTGTATAGAAAGAGGAGGAGAAGATTAAACTCAACGACAAAGTGCTCGAAGCAACAACGTATTGCAGTCTCCATGAAAGTGCATAGAAAGTTAGGCAATGTCCCAGGTCGGCACTGGCAGGTTACACAATAACTTGCAAAACAGTTTTAAAAATATATACAAACAGTTTTTCCTTTGACTCTGCTCGGAGGTACTGACAGGGGAACCTTTGTGGCCGGCTTTGCTCTAAATATAATGCAGAGGTAACCAATGCCTAAGCCCAAATCTATCAAAGTAAAATGTTGCAGGGGGGGTGGAGGAGTAAAGGAGGATAGGGGGAGTGGGGGGTGGGGGGTGGGGGGTGAGGGGTGGGAGGTGGGCGGGCACTGAGCCAATGACTCCCAGGTCTTTCTTTCCAAGAGTGGCTGCTCTTCTCCAGGCCGCTTACGGGGCTGGAGGGAGACCGCTGACAATGGTGACTCTGGTTCCATAGGGGCCTCAGCCCTTAGGTGTAGTGCTTAACTGTCAGCGGCTACAGCCACACAGATAATCTACTTTATGACCTCCCGCCCTGCCCTGGGAGTCTACAACTTTGGTCGTGCCCACCTACAGCTTTTGAGAATCACTTGGGATGAGCCCCAGGCGTGTTACTGGAATATTTTGCCCAACCTGACAGTCGAAATGCAAAGGGTAAGCCATAATCCTTTTTTTTTGAACAATGCTGGTTACATAATTTCATTCTCCACTTACAACAAATTCCTTAAGTTCAACGGGCTTTAGAAGGGTAATACTGGTTATCAGACTATAATCTTCATACATGGAGAAAAACCTGATTCTATCACATACCTGAGAATGATATGATTGATAAAAAAAAAAAAAAGGAAGAGGGCTAGACTTTTCCAAGAGTGAGTCTTGGGGAGAATTGATTTATCTGAATTCTAGCAGATATAATAGAAATACCTGCTAAGGAGTAACTTAACTCACCCGATAGCCAGCCACTCTTGGTAAATTTCATATACTCCTAAGAGCAAAGGAACTCCATTTTCACCATTACTCCATAGATACACTAATCTTTTCTTTCCCTCTTCCTTTTTTTTCCCCCCATGTCTAAATGTAAGGGAAAATAACCAGTCCACCTTGGTTGCATTAGGTTAGTTAGTGCTCTTAGCCCTCAAGGCACAGTGGTGGTAAAAGTCAGAGAAATACGCAGGCATTTATTGGAATCGTGCGGTACAGAATAAGCACACACGCCCTCCCTAATCTAGTAACGGGCCAGAGCTAAACGACTTTACACAACAGAGGTATTGGGCTGATTTTCATCGGTCACTTCCTTTTCATCGGGACCACACACAAAGAGCTGGTGGCCCAGAGTCTTCTGGGCAAATCGGAAATACATGAGATGGCCCATTGCCACGAAGGAGACGGAAATCAACACGAGCAAGCCAAAGGCTTCGGGATTGGGGGCCAAGATGACCATGATGAAATGCAGGAGGTCGAGAAGGTAGTTCATGGAGTTCTGCACGCCGTTGATAATGCCTCTTTCCGATTCAATTACATTTTCTTGCAGTAACTGTGTCACAGTTAGATCAAAGGACCAAAGGCCTATATGGTAAAAGAGATTGTAAAAGATTAAATTTTAGCATATAATTTAGCTTATAGTTATATAGCTTACATTATGCAGGTGTGTTAATATATGCAAAATACATTGGAGCTCTTGATTCTTTGAACTGCTCATAGATAGAAAATAGTCATCACACTTTTCCTTATATAATTTATCAGTATACACTGGATTATTAATGCCTTTAAGAAATTATTACTGGACCCAATAAAGCTAAGCCACAAGCATCTCTGTCCCATTTTTCTGTGGTTATTCAGACGACAAAGGTAAAATGGCCTCAGGAAGCAGAGCCTATGAATTCTAGCAGGTCTAAAGTTTAAAGTAATCTAACGTGCGGCCATGGCTAAAGAACACGGAAACTTTAACCCACTCTGCCATTGCTGCCTGAGTATCACAGGGCTCCCAATAAAGCTGTCTTGCCTGAGTATTAATGCCTCTGATAAATTCATGAATTGCTCTGTATCACAAGATAAATATGGGTTCGTTTCAAGAAGAAATGGATTCAGAGGCCACGCACCAGAACTCCATTAATGATTACTTAAATTCGGCTCTGTAGGATGCCTTGACATTGTGCTTCCGGCCAGAGGTATAAAACTAATTTGTGTGGCAAAGTATGTCACGTAAGAAATGCCTATCAGCTAGAGGGGACTTGTTTGTGAAGGGTATTTCTTACAACCATGATGCCTTCAAAAGAGTAACAATTTAAGGCATGTCCCTAGCACAAGAAGGCCCTGGGTTTGATCCCCAGTAACACATGAGAAAGAGAGAGAGATTAAATATTTAATCCTCAAAAATATTCATTTAAGGATGTACCTCAGAATTAGAGTTCTCACTTAATATGCATAAGGTCCCAAAACACACACACAATTCAGAAAAAAAAATCCTAAACATTTTCTATACCTATACACATATAGTTTAAAATATTAAGTAAAATTTTATGTTTAATGAGTAGATCCTATATATAAACTGTGGCTTTTGCTTAAATTAACATGCGTGATTTCAGATAATTTACTGTTGAATTCTCTACGCTATCGCTCCCAGATGATCTAACTTTTTTTTTTTTTTTTTTTTTTGGTTTTTTTCGAGTCAGGGTTTCTCTGTGGTTTTGGAGCCTGTCCTGGAACTAGCTCTTGTAGACCAGGCTGGTCTCGAACTCACAGAAATCCGCCTGCCTCTGCCTCCCGAGTGCTGGGATTAAAGGCGTTTGCCACCACCGCCCGGCTCTAACTTTTTTAATATAGAGAAAGAAAGTTCTTACCGATTCTAGCAGCAATGACGCCTGCGAAGAGCAGGCTGACGGAGATCATGGGCTCGGATTTGGTACTAATCTCATGGACAGTATTAACAATATTAGACATGTTGGACATAGGCGTTTCAGTCGTAAAGCCGGTCTCGGGTATCTTGGTAGTTGGGGGCACTGGCTCTGCCTGCATAAACCTAGAACGTATATCTTCGAATGGAGAAACAGATAGATCCAAGGGGCTTCCAGGCATGAACACGGAGATCACACACAAGATCAAACAGGAGAGCTGTGCCAGTCCTGAGAACAGACCAGTCCGAACAAGGCCACATTTTCGGCGTAGCCAAGTGAAAGCCACGGTTCCCATTATTCCAGTTATTGCTGAGGCTCCCATCAAAATACTGAGGACGGAACCACTCAGTCCCTGAGTGTAGGCGTACCCTGTAGTGATACAGTCAAAGCCCAGGACTGTCATATAGAGGAAAGCCAGGCCCATGCCAGCCAGGAACACCGGCTGGTTGTAGTAGGAGACCCAACCATCCCGAAAGGTGCGGAAGGGCTCGGCCATCTGGGAGGCACATGTGGGCTCTTGTTCGGGTTCAAGTTCGCGGATGTTGGAGTCTTTCTCGCCCATTAGGTGAGACTGCTCCAGAGATTTTGGCTCAGTATCTGTAAATAAGACACATCATTGGTTTGGGTTTCCTCATTCTTTTCCTGTGTGGGTCTCCTTGACTATTACATTGTAAATATTGCTTTCCTTTTACTGATAATTTCAGAATTACAGCCATGCCATAGGTCCCAAGTAATAGTTCTGGTGTAAAAATAAATACCATTGGTCTCTTTTTCAAACCTCTCTTTCTTTCAGAGATTATGGTTTCACTCACTGAAGCAAATAGCAGGAAAACTTATCAGATAAAGTAGGGAAATTATGTGGGGAAGTACACTATCTTCTTTTAAAACCTTAATAAGATTTCTTTTACCAGAAAAGCAGCTTCCACTTCTTCAGGGAAAATCCTGCCACTATCTCCCCCCACACACACACCCTACCCCAACTGCCCTCTAAATGGCTATTTTACTCCCCTCAGGAATGCTAGGAAATGCTCATGTTCCCTGTTTTCCCATTTCTATGACTCAGTTTCCCAACCATCCTCAATCAGTTACTCCTCTGTGTCCACTGCCCACAACAAGAAAAGCGGCCAGGGACCTACCCCAAGTCTTTTTATAGCCAACCCACAGTCCTTTCTAGAATCTCAAAAGATGACAGCCAACTCATCCAGACCCTCCCTGGAAAGATGGCCTGAAATTCAAACTAGCATCCGGTCTTCAGCAAACTCCCGAGGGCTGAACTTAGAACCAAGAGCTGGTGGTTTGGCCAGTTACCTTTGGGTGCATTCAGTTGCTTCATTTCTGCCTCCTCTACTTTGAGAACGGCCTTCACAGCCAGAGCAGGGGTCTTCTGATACACCTTCCAGAGCAAGAAATACTCCACACACATGGACACGAGATTCCAGCCCGAAATGAAACCACAGCCAATGACCGGTGAACCGAATGTCATGATCTGGCCCACGGCCATGGGGGCCAGGATGTTGGTGAGCTGGTCGATCCTTCTGATGGTGGCATTCATATCTACAGAGGCAAGAGGCAGGTGAGCGAGAGTTGAAACCTATCAAAGACAGCCTGATCACTTACATCATAGAAAGCGAAAAGCCCAGGGGACAGTTCCCTGGAAGGCCAGTTTCTAAAGGCATCCTGTGACCAAAACATTCGCTGTGAAGAACAGTCCCTGTTTTCATGAAGCTAACACTCCTCTAGGAAAAGCCAGTCAACCAACCAACAATATATACTATGCATGATATATTACAGATGTGTGTAGAAATATGTATCTACAAATGCTGCAAGGAAACATCTGGTATGTAAACTGTGAAACACATACAATGTTTATGTTAAAGCGGTGGTCCTCAGCCTTCCTAGTGTTGCAACCCTTTGGCACAGTTCCTCATGCCATGGCGACCCCAGCCATACAATTATTTCATTGCTACTTATTAACTATAACTTTGCTACTGTTCGGAATTATAATGTAAATATCTCATATGCAACCCCTAAGGGTGTCACAACCCACAGGTTGAGAACCACTACTTTAAAGGCAGCCTCATGATGCGCTGATAATAGATTATGGCTGACAGAGTCTAAGAAAGAAGTGTCGTTGATGGTTCTAAGGAGCTCTGTTCTTTTTATTTTTCTTGCGTTACTAAGTACTGAGAAGCAGATAACTTTGGAGTAATCAGGTTTTGCATAAAAGCACTAGAATTGGATTTGGGAAATGCTGATTTTGATAAGGCTCTTTGGAGACTGATAGCTACATCAAGGAGGCTGAAGATTCAGAAAGAGATATGAGCCAATTTCAGAAGTTTGCCAGTTTTTAAAACTATGGAATAAGATTGAATCTCAAGGGGGTGTGTGTAGAGCACAGACCAGATTCTAAACTGTTAGGAACGCCAAAATGTAGAGGTGAAAAACATGAGTAGGAATGAGCAAAGTGATAAAAACAAGAATACCGTGTCCTAGAAATGAAAAGGGGACAGTGCTTCAAAGTGGAGGAAAACCGCCTGCGCCAAGTGCTTATGGAGACACTCAAGAAACAGAGAATAAGAGGGGCGGTGGCACTCAGACGTGAGACTAAGAGGGGGCACTCAATGGGCCCCCTGAGAACCAGTGGGCACCTCAAAGACAACAGAGCACACAAGAGGCGCCAACTCCAGGAAACACTGTTTTCTTATCTTTCCCATAGGTATCCCTTCAGGGCACAATGTGAATGCTGCACCCTGGGGAAATGCTGCAGAGTAAACCACAGAGAAAGTTAGCAAGCAGAGAAAGTTAGCAAGCATGAGGAAGGTGGCATGGTAGACGCTCCTGCAGGATGTAGGAGAAAAATGCACAGCCATCCTTCAGGATGGAGGGAAAGAGGCTGAACGCAGAGCCAGGCTCGTTCCTCTGACGGCAGGAAAAGAGCAGCTCCTTGCTCATGGGCACACTGAGCTAAGTCATGTCTTTCCTCCAGTCTTGCTCTACTGTGAAAGCTGGCTTTAAAGGGGTTACTGAGTTAGCCCAACAACAGGAGAGAGAGTCAAGTGAGCCAAGGCTTGCCCTGGGAGGCAAGCCTGGTGTCATGACTGACCTTGGAATTTAAACAGGATAAGAGAGGGAGAACGGAAAGGGTCCTAGGTGGTAAGAAGGAGATGGATTCTGTGGTTCGTAGGTGGCAGCCAGCATGCAAGGATTGTTTGGAAGTGAAGGATGGAGCAGGGGAGATGGAGAGTGGCGGGTGAAGATGCAGACAAAGAGTGAGCTTATGAGAGGAAGATTTCGCCGTGATAACAGGGTTTTCTAAAGTTGGTTCCTGGATGTACAAGAGTATCAAAGATGAAGGAAGGGCAGCTAAGGCAATGATCCACTTTGCCGTGCCCTATAGCACGAAGGAGGGCGAAAACTCATGGGGCAGATCCTCGGCAATCATCTGGGTCAGCCAGGAAAAATCAATACGTGACTAACGAGAATCCTTGGGAATGGCCTCTCTCCTTCCCCTCATTCCTTCGGTGTCGGTGGCTTTCTGATTACTCCTAGGAGTGTACAAGGCACCCACGATAACGGGAGAACTTTGATATTCATCACCTTTCACTTGAAAGGCAAAGGCAGCCGGCACCGACCTCCCGTCGCAATGCCTTCCTAGAGGCAAAGGTAGCGGCCGCGGTCATCCATCTCCCTCAGGAGAATGTCTTCCTTCGCACAGGCTCCCCTAACATCTGCCTGCCCACTAACAGGCTTCCAGTGCGCAAGCCAATAGGGACACGAGGAACTAATCCAAGTGACTCAGCAATTTGAGTCCCAAAAAGAAAAGCAATTCAAGAAAGAACAGCTGCGTCTTAAAACCTCATTACAACAGGAAATGTTTTAGTCAAACGTTTCCCTTTCCTAGATGATCAAGAACTGGGGGTTCACAGAGCTCCCGAGACCCCAGTTTCCATATTTTATAGAATACTTAGGACGGCAATAGTCAAGAAAAAGGTGGCATCAGGAAACAGCTTGTGTCTTTCTGGAGCAGAAGGATACTAGCAGCCGTTTTGAAGACCTAATTGTTTGGATGGTGATAGCCTAGAAGAGAATCCGTCTTCTGAACGTTCACACATATGCGCTCTGTGAATTTACATTTATTCGCACGTGAAGACTCAAATGAGGGTTTGCCTCACGCTGGTTTGGTGGCTTTGGCTATAGCTATGGCACAGAACATGGCACAACGCAATGTCTTTCACTGTGACAAGTCCATGATACCACACAGGAGAAGACGTGTTCAAAGGGGACTTGCTGGGCAATCAGGAGCCAGCAGGCTGCTCTGTCTAGAACGTGAAACCAACTTTTTTAAGCAATAGAGCTAGGGCATGAAACCTACGCGCCATATTTTGTCAAAGCGAACCACCAGATTTTCCTCCAGAATACTTAGCCAGAAACTCCAACAAGCTGTCACTACAGACCGCCCCCACAAAGGGGCAAGAGAGACAGAAGATGGATCAGAACGCCTGGGGAAGGAGGGCGCAGAGTCTACATGGAAGAGAGAACCTGAAAAATATCTGACTAGTTCCTAGATTTATTAAGAGGACACATGTGAAAAACTATACTTTGTCTGGCCTCAATGATACAGTTTTCAGTTTTAGAACTCTCTGAAATCATGAATGCTGGAATAAAGAAACAAGAGCAGACAACAACCAGCCGCCAGCTCATAGTCTTATTCTTTATGTATGCACACACACAAACACACACAAATACAGCCAACTCTTCTGCTTGGTTTTCTAACATCCTTACAGGAAGCCAAGGCAACAGACTCTACTTTTCTTCTTTTCTCTATTTTTCTTTAGCCATATCCCTTCCCCAACCCCCGACTTTTCTGCTTATAGCAGAAATGACACACCAAATCCATGGTCAGACATCCGCTGACCCTCCGAATTAAGAAGTCTCTGTATTCTGTTTGGAAGCATGGATTTTGGTTACCATCCACTGGGGGTAAATATCAGAAAAGAAAACTTGTAGGTGTCCTTCAGTGATCTATCAGCCTGGCTGTGGGGAGTGGGGGCAGAAGGGCAGTAACTAAGACTGGACCACTTGACCAAGAAAAGAGATCAGCTGACATTCCGTTTCCCTTTTTTCCTTGTGGGAAAGCCCACAAGGCTAGGAAACAGGCTGTCTTTTCTAGATTCTTCTACCATGAAATAACTCACAAAGAAGGAGAGGGGTCAGCCGAGAAATGGCCAGTCCTATTTTCAATTGTTCTGGAACATTTTCTTATAGATCCACAGAGTTACGTTGTCTGTGTCTATGTATTTATTAGGACTACTTAAAGATTTTGAGAATTTCCCTGGAACAAGGCTTTTTGCTGTTACTGCTGTTGCTTTTCTTTGCTTGCTTGTTTTGTTTGTTTGTTTGTGACAGGGCTTCTCTGTGTAACAGCTCTGGCTGTCCTGGAACTCACTTTGCAGACCAGGTTGGCCTCAGACTCAAAGAGATCCACCAGCCTCTGCCTCCCAAATGCTGGGATGAAAGGCGTGCATGGCCACTGCTTGGCCCTAATAAAGCTATTTTAAGGAGGAAAACAACTTTTAAAATTCTTTCTTTTTATTACTTTTTAATGATGTGTATTGTGCAGGTAGATGCATTAAGGGTACGTGCCCACAGAGCCTAGAGGCATCAGACCCCCTGAAGCTGGAGTTTCAGGTGATTGCCTAATGCTATGCTGGGAATAGAACTCCGGTCCTCCAGAAGAGAGGAATGGGCTCTTAAGGAGCCAGGCATCTCTCCAGTTCCCTAAAATAACCTTTTTTTTTTTTAACTTAATGGACTTTATAGGGTCAAAATGAGTGCAGTTAATAAATTCAGATAAGTGAAAGAAAAATAATTTAGAGGCCAAATATTTTTCCAAATATGTTAGAAAAATACATTTGTGACCTGTTTTCAAAATACATTCCTTCTTATCCCCTGAATTTTAAAACACAGACATATTTTACATGCTTAAAACAATGTTAAAAGGAGAAAGTTAACAAAAAAGGGGATGAAGTCTTATCTTCTCTTTCAGCAGAACAAAAAAGAGATGTGAAATTAGTATTATTTTTTATAAATAAACGAAGAATGGAAGAGAATTTTCTGGAACACATTCATTGTTCTGCTCTCCCACAAAACCCCAGTGTATTTCCCTGGGTTGTAACACGGCTACCAGGAGGTAATGATTCAGACAAATTCTTTTTTTTCTAGAGCAGAGGTGTCCAACTTTGAAAATTAGAGTGTGGTGTTGTCAGTCACCTACAAATACGTGGGGCCACATTTATAGCTATCTGAAGAGGCACACAGGCAGGAGGGACAAGCCTGTTCCCGGTCTCCCATAGACTTTGCTCCCTTTCAATTCCTATTTCCTTCCCGCCTTCTTTTTATGTTCGAACCACCAGGTCTAGTCAAACGGAGCCGCTTGCTAACCCCGGCACACAGTCTTCGCTTCTGTGTCCTCCAGTGGGCTGCTTTAGTCATGGGGAATGACTTTCCAGTCTGTCAGGATTGTTGGGCACCGCGCTTGTGAGACTCATTATCTTAATGACCCGCACAGTCGGATCAGCTGATCGGGGTGACCTTCCTCTCTCACCTTGTGTAATTACCAAGCCAGTTCAAACCTGCGGGCGCTGTGGTGAAGAAGGAGGATACCGGGTAAGCCAGGGGCCTTAGGAGCATTCGTGAAATAAGGCATGTGTCTTGAAGACACTCTGGTCTTTCTTAAGCTATTTGTCTGTGTTTCCAACAAACTAAGATTGTTTGTTAAAGAACATGTCCTGTCTTCTGTTTGAAAATATTTCAAAAGTCTTACATTTTGCAGGATGTGAGATCATTACTGTTCAAAAGAAATTTTTTTTTTGAAGTGAAAACTAACTTCAATAATCTCTGCTACAACTGTGTTATCTCCATTTTGGTAGAAAGAAACAAAGTACCAATGGTATAATCCTTAAAGTGCGTGTAATATTTCCATATTTATGAGGGCAAAATACCATGTCAGATTGTCACCATGACAACTGGAATTGAGAAACAGCATAATTTAAAAAGAAAAAAAAAAAACAAAAAGTTCAAATGAGATGTTTACTTGCTAGATTTACAGAGAAGGATACAGTAGGAAGGATCCTAAAGTTAACTCCGGAGCACTTAGGTAAGTCACTGCCCTGTCTGACCTCTGTAAGGGCAGCAATGCAAAACCCTGGTGCTTCCCGTGTAGTGTCCTTAAAGCCTTCCCAGACAACCAATGGTAAAAAGGCATCCCTTCCCACGTAGAGCCATGGATTCATGGATTCCGTTAGTCGAAAGGGTCATCCCAGTTACCTGCTAGTCTGCTTCTGTTTTCTCCCGCCACCACAACAATCCAGTCCCTTTGGATGGTAATGGCGGTAGCTGTGCTGGCCAGATTTGCGATGTTTGCGATAGTGATGATCATGATATAGCAGGCAGTCTAAGGAATCAGAGCAAAAAACTTGAGTTAATACCGAAGCTTATCTTCTTTTTTTTTATTTTAGTGTCATTCATAAAAAGTAACTTTACTTTCTGCACAAGGGACAATTGAGTACCAGGAGTCAGAAATTAAAGGTCAGGGCATCATTCAGGTCTGTACTATCTATAGTTAATTCAAAAGTTATAAAATAATCATTTATATGACCGTTGAATGTTTTTTTTAAAACATCATCAAAGGAGAATCAAGAGAATCAAAATGGGGCTGGAGAGATGGCTCAGAGGTTAAGAGCATTGCCTGCTCTTCCAAAGGTCCTGAGTTCAATTCCCAGCAACCACATGGTGGCTCACAACCATCTGTAATGGGGTCTGGTGTTCTCCTCTGGCCAGCAGGCAGACACACAAACAGATTATTGTATACATAATAAATAAATAAATAAATAAATAAATAAATAAATAAATAAATAAAAGAGAGAATCAAAATGACCCGTGGATCTAGAAATCAATATTAAAGGTTACAGTGAAAACCCACAAGGTACACTCCTAGTCTGAAAAGGGTTTACACCTTCACCGCTATTGGATGTTCTGTTCTCTCATCCAGAATCCTGGGGAGCTGAGGCACAGCTCAGTGGTGGAGTGTATGCTTAGTACTTCTGAGATCCCGGGCTCCATCCTCAGGACCCGGGAAACAAACAGCAAGAACCCCGTGGAGAACTTACGAGGACCCATCCGTGATACATCGTCAGAAGCTCATGTTTGTGTAAGAAAACCATCATGAGGATGATTCCGCAGAGGATGACGGAGACGTTCTGCACCACCAGTGAAGTCTGGGCCACTGTACGGAGCAAAAGCAAAATGTTCACTGCACCGGCATGGTTGAGCAGGATGCTGTCATTCACGCGATTGCTGAGCTACGTGGATGCACACGCATAACTACTACAAGACCAAGAAACCCCGCCAAGAGTAAATTCTGCTTCAGCTAGGTCCTGCCCACAGACCTGAGAACCCTGCAAACAAAATAATGAAGCCGTGGCTTTCTTCTATTAATTGAAGTCTTTCATGATAACTGCGTATTTATCTCATTAATTCTTAGGAAGTTTACTATTATAAACAGAAGTGTTGTATGGATAAGATCCATCCTTCAACCCTCAACTGCTTAAGCTAAAATAAAAACACGTAGGAGGTTAGAGAAGAGCTGAAGAGGAAGTGGACTCTGTAACCTCTCGCTTACGTGGCCTGCTTGATCTATTAAAATAATAAAAAATACACAAACATTTGCCCAGAACCCATACATCGTAGATTTCTTCTGATTTGTATTTTGTTGTCATTGCTATGAAATTCTGAGCTATGCCTTCCATCAGAGAAAATGCAAGGTCCTGTTAGAGAGAGACACTCCTTCATATAGGTGAGCAAGGCCAGGTAAGAACCAGTAGCCATTTTCCCGGCACTCATAGGCAGATTATTAGGACAGGATATTTAATGGTTCTTAAGCCTATGCCTGGTAAGTGTGGAGGATAACATCCACCTTCCTTCCCTTATGGAATCACAATGATCTTCAAATAAAATATTTGTGAAAGCATTGTGGAAGGTATAAGTTACAATTACAGATCTTGTCATCCAGAACGGTAAGGCTTATCCTGGCTTGGAAGATCATATCAAAGACTTAAAACAAAACAGACTCCTCCCTGAAACAAAACCCAATGCATGTATGCATGCATTCATAGCTAAGGATTAAAAACCAAGTCCCCACACACCAGAAGGAAGGCTATGTGGGAAGATGACTATAACCATCTCAGGACAATAACGAAGGTACCACAAAGTCTCAGAGAGCAGAGGAAGAAATAGTGACTTCATCCTGTAAGGAGCAGGGAAGAGTCACATGAAGGGTGGCTCGTGAGACGCTGAGACTGCAAACACAGGAGACTCCTATCATATACCACAGCCTTCTCCATCCAACTTAGCACTTCCCGAACGCGTGATTGCAACACTCAACCACGTTATGGTTAAAGGATCCTGTGGAGAATATTCTTGTGGCTAGCTATCAAGAGAATTTGGTTTTCCCTAGTGTATGATTTTTTTTCTATAAGTGCTCTTATCGACTTATTCTCAAAATAGGAAAATTTTCCTATGAATCATTTTACTAGTAACGCCAAATCCTAGAACTCTGTAAGCCTGTCAACTCTTTATTTAGGAGCAATCACCCTGAGCTGAACAAAGCTAGGTATACCTTAGAGTTTTCCCTGTGTCTCTCTTCAGGCAGGCATGGACAGCTCTTTGCATTATTAACTGAGTTTCAAATAATTATCCACACACATCTTATATTCCTATAACCAAATTGCTTAGTTATTCCCAATCTCTTGTATATAAAACAGAATATATCTTGATACCTTAGAATAAAAATCATTTTATCATGTGTACAATATAATACATGCATGATTTATTATAATTTCTATAACATATTATAATTTTTTTCCTTAAAAAAGTATAATTCAGCTGTCTGTTGTCCAGACATGGTTATTCTCCCTTGGGTTTGGTTGTCAAATTCCACTACGCACACCTTTAAATGTACACCAGAGGACAGATGTTCAAGCTGTACCCAGGAACCTCACACTAGAGGGCCTCTAGTGCAACTCATGGTGAGGGAGGAAGCCAGAACTAAGCAAACTTTTAATGTTTAACGCGATTCCCAGAAAATTCGCTACTGGGTTAATTGTTAACCTCTGAAACCGACAAACTGCCAAAAGAAAGAAAAATCTATGAAGTCAATGCCCTGACATCCCAACTAGTGCAACTGCCTCAGGACCCTGAATCCAGATGTGGCCATCAGCCCCTATCCCTCAGCTCTGTCGCGCGAGTCTTTTCTCTGAGTCATGATTTATTCTCTCCAGTACAGAGGAAACACGGGCTGCTCCAAAGAACACCGGCTGAGTTATGTAATCGCACTCACCTTTCAGTCTGGCATTCTTGTCGACCCAGTCACCAATGATGGCGCCCATGACCAGAACGGAGCCTGCCACCACCAGCCCATAGACAGCTGTCAGAAGGAGGCTGTTTCCATAGAGCTCCACCAGAAACACAGACACGGCAAAATGCCACATCCGATCCCCCTGAAACAAGACAAGGAGGTTTGGTTGAAAGGTTTTGAGTTTGTAGCCCACTGTAGTCAAGAAGTCGTTTTCTTATCAAAAGGATGCTTTCTGGCTACATCGGATGGTTTTCCAAGCCAATAATTATAACTTGAAAATTGGCCTAATGTTAAAGATTCATTCCAGCACAATGGAAAAGTCAAGCTTCATTACGTATAATTTCGAAGCATTAATTTAACTTAAGGGCTGACACAAGCCAGTTTTTCAATTTAGGAACTTGTAGGAATGGCCTCTGAGGCCTCTGATGGGTTTTCATTGCTATCTTTTTTTTATTTTTAATGTGTTATTCCACAAGTAAATTTTTTTCAAAGCTGTAAAATAGCAGAACAAACAGAAGGGGCAAAAAAATTAATCATGGAAACTCTGATCCCATAAGACCAAAGATGTTGAAATAAATATATAAGTAAACAACTATTTTAATGTTTTAGTAAAGATAAGTTTTGAAAAGATAGCTTGGTGTAGTGATACACACTTTTAATCCCAGTACTTGGGAGACAGAGGCAGGTGATATTCTGTGAGTTTGAGGCCAGCCTGGTCTACATAGTGAGTTCAAGAATAGCAAGAGCTACATTGTAGATTCTGTCATGAAACAAGCTGAGACAGAGAGTTATATCTTTACATAGTTCCAAAACATAAAAGGAATTTTGCTATTAGTTGGCATAAAATGTGGTACAAGTTTAACAGAAACTTTTTAATTAGTCAGATAGATTAATACATGAACTATCTAGAAGAGACACTCTATGAGATTACAAGTTCCAGCCCGGACATTTTAGGTTAACATTGAGGAAAGACACCATTTCGTCAGAATCATCACTAAATTCCTTACATATTTGACCCTGTGTGAAAGAACTTCCACTCTGAGATCTTCCCTAACTCTGGCAAAATCCTCATGATAAACTTCATATGTTGGAAGGAAATTATTTTACTGATAAGTCAAACGCTACTAAATTTTAATAAGACTAAAATAACCACTTTAAATATCCAAAATTTAAACTGATTCATGCTAACACAATAAACAAGTCATTCTCAACTAGGGAGCATTCTATTCTTAGGGGTCACTTGCTAATGTCTGTAGATGCTTTGGGGGTATCACAGCCTCCCTGCCTGAAGGGAACTTGAGGTACGGAAATACTGCCGGCACCCCTCATTCCATCAGGAAGCATTTCCTGACCCCACACATTAACACTGCAGAGGTAGGGAAATCTTTGTGCGAAGAATGATGCAATTTCCAATCAAAATCCAAAACGAACACAAGATTTAGAGCTTGGAGAATGAGGTTGAAATTGCTCTGGCTATCCTAATTTCCAAAGACCTTCCAAGTATTAAGAAGTGGTAAACTGTGTGCTTATAAAAACCCCAAGAACGGGGCAACATCTAAGTAAACGCTGGCTAAGTACTCAGCCCGCCTTTTCACGCATCCATTGTCTGGCTCCCCGCCACACGCTCCAACTCTACTTTGATATTTGTTTGCGTGCCTTCCTACCCACGCTGGATCTGAGCATTAGTAACAACAGTCATCAATCCACTTAATAAACGCCTCTAGACTGGTTTCCGATGCGTGCCCCACGCGACTGTGGCATCACAGCTTCAGCGGGCTCCTTTTCATGGTGCCCGCATTCCAGTCTAGAGAGACCGAGGCAAACCAGGCACAGGACAGGGGGTAGCAGAGGCTATGAGGAAAAGGGACGTAGCAGGTGGCACTCTACGTTAGGACAGAGGCCTCTGTGAGCAGAGAAGTAAGCCCCTCTTTTTCACGGTTTCACATTGGTGCTTTTGTTGTGGCTGCTCGGAAGCCCTTACTGAATTGTGTTACAAACTCCTAAACGAAAGCACCTACTTCTCAGCTGGTTTGTGCTCCGACGGCAGCATGAAATGTGTTATCCCGTTAGTAGAAATGAAGTCAGAAATGAAAAAAACACACAGATCACACAAAACTAACCTCAGAGAACCTTCTGCCCAAAGACCCCATATCCAAGGTCTCAGGAATCAGAGTTCAGTTGTGTTGGCAAGTATGTATGTGTTGTGTGTTGGCATTTGTGTGTGTGTTGGCGAGTATATGTGTTGTGTGTGTTGTGTGTGTTGGCATGTGTGTGTGGTGTGTATATTGGCATGTGTGTAGTGTGTGTGTTTGTGTGCATGTGGTGTGTGTGTATTGGCATGTGTGTGTGGTATGTGTGTGGTGTGTATGTGGTGTGTGTGTTGGCATGCATGTGTGAGTGGAGTGTGTGTGTTGGCGTGTGTGTGGTGTGTGTGTGTGTGTTGGTGTGTGTGTTGGCATGTATGTATCTGTGTGTGTGTGTGGTGTGTGTGTGTGTGTCTGCACACAGGAGACAAAGCACAGAAACAGAATTAATTACTTAGAGCATCCCCTTCTGTACCCTTTGCAGCGAAGACTAAACACTAACCCTTCTGTGGCCCAGTTGTTGCTGTAGCATCTCATCTTTCTGTCTCCCGAGGACTCGTCCATTTGCTCAATTGACTATAAGGTTAGAGCAAGCATCTTCCACCTTTCTTTAGGAACATGCTTTATATTTTCTTTCTCAATACAAAATACAAAATAAACTAATAAAAAAAAAACCTGGAACACCCATAGCTCTTCTCATGTGTCTAACACCCAAAGGTCACATGAGCCTTGAAGTTAATCAGTGTTTAGAAAAGAGGTGCCCTGGTTCTCTTGGAGGACTCCAGACCCTCATCCATCACTGGTCCCTTTGTGCTTAATATTACTGAATTAAATGGCAAGAACAGGCTATTGGTTTAGATTTATAAAGGGCTCTTTGCTGTTTTTTTTTTTTTTTCTTATGCCACCAGCTAAAACAAACTCAGGTAAATTCCACTTTGTTTATGAATATATTTGCAGAGTCATCCCTGGGTAAGCATTCAGAACCCAGGAGTTAGCTTCTCTAGGAAGTTATCTGAGGCTGCTGTTTCTCAGAGAGCCAACAACCCAACCTAATACCCTCCCGAGGACAAAGGGCACAGATTTCTGTGTATGATGGCCCCCATTCATGGCTTATAGGTAAGTCAATTAAAAGAAAGTAGCACTTCAAACTAGACTCTGGAAATTCTTTGTTGTTGTTAATAAGGCACAGAATATGCTTAGAGTCATGGCTTCTAAGCAATAAGAATAATTGTTTAGGGTTTCTAATAATCATCTATTGAACACATGCAGCCCTCTTTGGGGTATTTGGGGGGGGGCTTATAGAGGAATCTAGAGCAGAAATTCTGGAATTTTCTCAAAGCCACTTAAGAAACCAATGGGAGGGCTGGAGAGATGGCTCAGAGGTTAAGGGCACTGGCTGCTCTTCCAGAGGACCTGAGTTCAATTCCCAGCAACCACATGGTGGCTCACAACCATCTGTATTGAGATTTTGCACCCTCCTCTGGCAAGCGGGCATACATCGAGGCAGAATGTTGTATACATATAAATAAATAAATCTTAAAAAAAAAAAAGAAACCAATGGGAGAATTGTGAAGCCATGCCTAATTTCCCTGGGAGGTGGTTTTTATCCCAGCTTGTACTACCCACATATTAAGTAGCCACTGATAACAGCTTTGAAGATTAGATTTTTTTATCATTTAGATATTTGATCTTGGATTAGGTATACTTAAGCTAATCTTACAATATTACTGTTACCCTGATCGGCCAATATTTGTTAGTATATCATTCTATTCTATTTTCATGATGCTGCATGCTGGAACCAGACTTTAACAAAAGAAAAGAGTTATATTTCTTTTCTTCTTCCTCCTCTTCTTCTTTAAAAATTTATCTACTTTTATTTTATATGCATTGGTGTTTTGCCTGCACATATGTCTGTGAAGGTGCCCGATCCCATGAAATTGGGGCTACAGGCAGCTGTGAGCCGCCATGTGGGTGCTAGGAATTGAACCCGGGTCCTTTGGAAATGCAGTCAGTGCTCTTAACCACTGAGCCATCTCTCCAGACCTCAGAAAAAGTTTCTTAAACGTGGGAAAAGAAAGAAGACTCGCGGGATAATCTTTCCAGTTTGGGAGGGGGTAATAGAATTTGCCAACCCTAGGAATTATGCATGTTTTCCTGTCCTCGTCAATCTTATTATGGACAGTTTCACTCAGTTAATTATTAGCATTTCACCATTAAGAAACATTTACTAATAATCATGGGAACTGTCTTCGGAAAAAAAAAATTCTGCTGAAACATGTGTCTAAGAACAATTTCGCTTAATACAACTGTCTCCACAGAAAGTAAACAGAGCTTGCGCAATCACGCGGGAAGAGTGCAGTCTCACTTACCCAAGTGGAGAGAGCGTGGCCAAGGTAGAGAAGGAATTTTGCCGAGGTCAGGTAGTTTCCTAAGGATCCTACAAAGGCCCAGAGAGAGTAAATGAAAACTATGTTTTGCCATACCCCTGCGCTCAGGTTAGAGTTTGCTTTGGGTCATACGTATTTGTGATGTTTAAGCAGGTCACCTACAGATAGATGCAGTCGCTTTACTTCATGCCATCCCCTGAGGTCCAGAGTAGCCTCTTGGCCAATAACCGCCCGACTTAATGCACCGTGAAGAAACTTCTGTTTCAACATTCTTCAACTTCGGTGAGGTTTGTTTATCAGGGCAAGGAATTCCACACTGCCCAGCGTACTCTATCTATCCTTGCCGATCTGCAAGCTCTTTTTAACCAAACGTTGAATTTACGTTCTTCGGAGCCGCCATCCAAACAGAAGTCAACCCTCACGGAACTGCGTCCCCCACCCCGGCCACCTGCAATCCCACCTCTTGACACATTAGGATTATACTACTCACCACAGCATCCTTCCTGGCCGCTTTGATCTCTTGCCTTGGTCATGGCACCAGGCGCTCTCCCCTTGCTTGTTTTGGTATTGGTTGCTGTAGCTGCTCTTGCCCAGGGGCTTGTTCACGGGAGTGCGAGGAACCGGAGATAGCACCGCTAAAAGCACAACAGCCTTGTGCCGCAAGACCCCAAAGGACAACTAGGACAAAGATCAACAGCAAAGCTGCCACCGGGGTCTCTCTCTGTCTCCTTTCCAAACTTAGCCAACACTGTAGCTGAAGTTGGAAAGCTAAAGCCTTATGGAAGCGGGTTGGAGGATCCACCGGCCGCCGGAGACCCTGAGCCTGCTCCAGCCGCCGCCGCCGCCACCGCCGCCGCCGCCGCCGCACCGTGGGCCGGGCCACCACTTATAGGCAGCCGGGGGCGGAGCTCGCGAGCGCGGGGGACGCCCCTCCCAGCAGGACACCAGGTCTGGGCCAGCAGCGCTCCGGGCCTCCCGGTGCTAGCTGCTCGGCCTGAAGTCACCCGGAGGGCGCGAACAACCGGCGCCTTTGCAGGGCCACCGCAGAAGAAACCCGAGAAGGGATCGGGTAGCCCGCATCGTGGCAGGGAGACCGTGCGTGGACCCCGAGGGGACAACCGTGGAGACGTTTCCTGAAAAGGGCCGATTGGCAGGTGCCAGAGCGTTGCGTTGCGCTGCGCTGCGCTCTGACCTCCCGATTGCCAGCCAGTCCCCAGGCAAAGCTCAGCGGGAGCTGGAGAGGAATAAAGGAGCCTCCCACCCCAGCTACATTTTGGAATGCCGGTAGCTAAGTAAATACAAGTCCCGTCACAGAAGCAGCCTTCCTGGCCTCCACGTCCGGCCTCCCTGCGACCCAGAATGTCTTCCTTCCCCAGACTGTAGAGAGGGGACTCAAAAGCAGTGTAATCAAAGCGCAGGAAGGGGACTCGGAGATCAGAGAGCAACCCTCCACAGCCCAGTCAGTGACCACAGGCCTTCCAGCCCAGACTTCTGTCCTGCAGGAGCCTTCAGGAGACAGCTCCCTTCAGGGTCCTTTCCCTCTGGGCTCTCAACCCGCCACACCTGCCTCCTTTGCTCCTCTCCAGGTCCCAGAATCAGACAGGAGGTTACCAGGAATACCGGTTGTCCCGGTTGGGACCCTGGGTCTGACCCAGTCTGATTAAAGCCACTTGGTAGCCTCCAGAAGGAATGGGTTAAATATAACTACAGAAAAATGCACCAGGTGTAAGCCTCTAGTGACCTCAGCTTCATCCCCAGGTCACGCCAGGCTGCCACTTACCTTACCGTTGTCAATCTCGTCAACTCTTCCAGAGTAATCCTCCACATTGAAACTCCAGCCAGCTTGCACCCTTGGAGCGCGGGCCTAATGACACCTGCTAATGAGGAGAACCACTCAGGAGCACGGGCCTTGTATCTGGACTCTCTATCAGAAGCCCCAAAGGTCTTTGCGGGCGGGGTGCTTTTGGATTCGTTGGGATGAGGGCTGCAGAGCAGAGATAGGGGACTCACCGTTTACTGCTCTCAACAGCTTCTCCGCCTTTGCAAAAAAAAAAAAAAAAAAAAAAACAAAAAAAACAACAAAAAAAAAAAAACGCTCTCTTCTCCTTTCACAGAAAACTTTTCCGTTCTCTCTCCTCACTCAGAGGTGGTGTGGCTATGTCTGCTGAACCTGTACAATGGGGTGGCGTATCCCAAACGTCTTTTGAAGAAAACCTAAGGTATGTTTACATGGGGTACTCAGGAAAAGGGCATCTAACAAACTGAGAATTTCCTATTTTTTTTTTAAATTTTATTGACCCTCAAGCAAAACACAAACTCTCCTGATTCCTTGCTCATATGTCACCGTGTGCCAATAACAAGAACCTCTGTGTTCTTTACATTAATGGCTGTGTGCCTTAAGCATGGGTGTTGAGCTGTCCCCAATCTCCAGGTGTCTTAACTTTCAATCCGTGAAGATTATTTACTGCGGACTTGGAGAAACAGCTGAGCTGCTATGTGCCTCGAAGTGTGACATGGAACTTCTGTTCGCCTTGTCACCAAGGAGTCCCTAGAAACCAGGGGCGTGGAGCAGACCAGACAGGAGCTGACCATGAAGCAGGAAGGAAAGAGAACAGGCAGCATCCAGAGACAGCGTGATATCTGAGCGTTGGCCAGGGTTCCTAAATCCTGGCCAAGTCGTTGAGAATGAGGACTCGGAGTGTGTTGCTGGAGCTCACAACATGGAAGAAGTTAAAACAGAAACTGGAATTAAAAACGCTCAAAACACTTGTGAGGCACGAAGTGACCGAGTTTCCTAGCCTTGACCTTCCCGATAAGAAAGCTACAGTCACGAGACCTCGCCGACTCTTTCTCCTTCCAAAGAAACATTTGACTGCTCCGAAGTAAAATTTCATGCAAAATGAATTTTTTTTCTCTCAGAACAGAATATATAACTTTCTTGTCAACTTAATCATAACTCAAGGAGCCATGCATGTTTTCAACCAGTTTTCAAAAGCAAAGAACAGGTACCCAAGAGGCATTTCTCAACTCGTTTTCAACATTTTGTTTATGAGTTACTCATACCAGCTTTGAACTCACAATGCCCCTGCCTCAGCCTCTCTAGTGATGGAATGACAGGCATGTGTCACCACTGAGCTATTCATAGCTTGTCCGTTCCCAAGGCAACCTTTTAAGTATTCCATCCAGAATAAAATGTACTCTTATTGGAAGCTGTTAACAAACATTTACGGTTGGGAAGTAAACGGGGTTTTTATTCTTTTATTTCCAAGTTGTGTCTGGACTTACCTCCAGAGAGCCTTGGTCGCCTCTGCTGTTTCGGATGCCATCCAGAATGAAGACAGCACAGGGAATGGTCACCACACTCCACTGCCCTGAAGACAGATGAGAAGGAACAAACACTGTGGGGTTATCACCAGCTATTACAGGAAGGCCTCAAATCTGAGGCCACAGCTCCCGCTGGATGCAGAGCTTTCCCTGTAAAGCCGAGTTCCTGCCCAAGTGCCTGCCTCATTATTGCCATTTCTGTCATTTTAAAACGGAGTGGACTCTTGATAAGTTCAAGTTCACGCTTCTCCTTCGTGTCATAGGCCATAAACTGATAATGAGTGTGTGCTCACAGGCCTTCATTTCGGTGGAGTGTCCCGAAGAGATACGATCTTGACAAGATTTCTATGAATGCCTTCTGACCTCCCTGCAGACGATTCCAAATTATATATATATATATATATATATATATATATATATATATATATGTCAAATCCATAAATATAAAGTAATAGTTGACTTCAGGGCCGTGGGTGTCTTTTTGAGACGACGAAAGTCTTGACAGTGGTGTAACACCATAAAAAAGTGGCCAAGTTATCAACAATGGCAAAACTGTGCCTTTTAAAATGATATAAGTGGTGAGTTTTACCCCATGTTTCCTAAAAGGAAAGGCTGCCCTATTCCCATATTAGTGTGGATTGGGATTAATGTAGGCCAGATATTCAGAAAGAAGAGACTAGAAATCCAATCTTGCCCATCATAGTGGAAACTAAAGCAGATAGCTATGCTAATTGTTTAATTGTCTCCATATATAGCCAGAAAACAAATATGAATGTCACTGAATAAACATTTTGGCCTCTCAGCCTTTTTCCACAGTCCTTCCTTCTGCTCTTTAACCAAACTGTTACAGGACAAAGGTCATCCCATTGTTTGTTTTCAGCTAAAGCCAAGGGAGGATGCTGACTGACCACAATCCTGGACACAGCCTTGCCTTCCTAAGGCGCTCTAAAAAGAAACTCAGGTCTCTGCTACACGCTCAGTTTCTTTTGGTTTGCTGCCCTTTTCTGTTTCTCGGTCGGTCGCTTGCAGCCCTCACAGAAGAGAGCCGAAAATCTCAGATCTCTTGGTGTGTGTGGGGGGGGGGACTTCATCCATCCCAGGAGTTCTCAGTGTGCACACCTACCCAAGTCACCTGCCCCGGGCGCTGAGGACGGACGGCGTGCCTGTTTCTAAAAACCACCTTGGAGCTAATTCCTTCTAAGCTGGTTGTGAATTTCTAGTCGAAAAGTTTGCATTCTGGGCTAAAGGTAAAAATGTTCCATTTAGGACCCAGTTCCCGGGCCCGGTGCAGAAGTGACCACCTGACGTGCGTCCCCAAGGCCTTCCTTGGAATGGGCACTGCACCCACTCTTTGTCTTGTTTTGTTTTATTTCTGAAAATACTACTTTTATACTGTTGATTTTCGTTTTGTCAAGTCTCAGAAAATGACTAATTACCGTTACACGTCATCTAGGAGTGCACCGGGCTCAAGATAATCCCTGGGCAATTCCCTGATCTCAGGCCCTTGAGTTGTGCTTACGGAGACGTTAGTGTGGTTAAAGACCTTTAAGGAAAAAAAAACAAGAAGTCTTTTACACAGGATCTGGACAAAGCCCTCTCGGCCCACACGATTTGAAATCACCACTGGCGAAAATTATCGCAACATTTGCAAAGAAGCCTCTCCCAAGGATGAATGCCCATCAGAGACATCTCATTAGTGTTATCTGCCCTGGGGCAGCACACATGACCAAAGCCACCTTCCCTTAGAGCAGGACACAAGTGGCAGGTAGGAGGCAAGGTTCTTATCAGATATTACTATCTCAGTTCCTCTCCACAACACCTGGTGAGGTAATGCGGTTCTCATTTAGCACGGTGCAAAGAGGGGCTGCGCAACTCCCTCAAGGTCAGTCAGCTAAAGGGCCTACAGTCGCTGACAGCAGGCCAGTGCTCTCTCATCCCTCCCTCTACCCCTCACCGACTCACAAGTGTGGCATGAAACAGGTCAGGTAAAAAAGTGTGAATGAGTCAATCAAGCGAAGGCGAAAAGTACCAGAAAATCAGGCAGCAAATGGTCTTAAAGGGATTGCTTTGTCTTATCCCAGCAGCTGAGGTTTTTTTTTTTCTTTCATTATGATTTTATACCCTCCCTCAACTGGCAAAGCCATTCCCTTTAAGACCCTTTGTTACCTCCTTGTGGGGCGGTGACCTCTTAGTACGAGGTGCATAGGAGAGTGTCCACACATAGGTGACAGCTCACCCGCTTCTTAGCTTCTATAAGAACATAAAAACATATCAAATTCTGAGGTTTGGTTTTTTGGTGGCTTCTGGTTTAGTTTGAGATGGGATTTCTCTGTGTCTCGCTGGCCTCGGCTGTTCTGGAACTGGCTCTAGAAACGAGGATGACCCCAAACTCAGAGATTCACATCTGCCTCCCAGAGCTGGGGTTAGAGGTGCATGCCCTTCACCACGACTGCTCAGCGTGAGGTTTGTGGTTTTAGATACAGGGAAGCTAAGGTGTTCGAGGACATTCCGTCTTATGTCATACTGCTTGCGTCCTCTGTGTTTTATAACGAGTATTAGAAGATGTAGGGGTTGAAGCTTGATTAAAAATATCTTGAAAATAGTTTAAATTTCAGAATTTCTTGGCATTGAGGAGGGAATTAAATAGAATTTGTAAAGAGGACATGGTAAGTATAGATTTCACAACATCATAACAGTTCTTTTTAAACTGTTGATAAAAAACATATTAGCTATAGACTTAGGTTTAGAAGGTGGACTTCTCTAGGGTACAATAGAAATGCAGGTTTGAGGATAATTTTTTTGTATTTAGAAAAATGCTTAACTGAGAAATTTACATTTTAATGTTTTTGTGTTTCCCCACTTCTAATAACTATCCAAAAAGCTCTTTTATTGTGGCTATTACACACCAAGTTAGTCCCAGAGCTCTGTTGCACACGTGCATTCGTGCACACACACACACAACACGCATGCACACACTCATACAACACGCATGCACACACATACAACAAACATGCACACGCACATACAACACGCGTGCACACACACAACACGTGTGCACAGACACATACAACGCGCGTGCGCGCACACACATACAACACGCGTGCGCGCACACATATACATGCATGCCCGCATGCACTCACACACCCATGCACACACAGTGTGTGTGTGTCCCTCTGGTGGTAGGGATGGTTCTGTGTTGAGCTGGTATGAAGGGTGACTGGATTTGAACTGACTTCAGGAGAACTTCGGAAGCTGAAGACAGAAGGAACCCAAGAGTGGGCTTCAGCAGGGATAGTGAGCATGGTGTGGCCCGGCTTCAGATTAGAAATCAGGAAACAGTTCTATCTGGACTAAAACGCAGCTTTTGTGTCTTTGGGAGACTTTGCTTAGATACAGCTTCTTTATGTGTAAATGAAGTAAACAGTTGACTTATGATATCAAATTCATTGAAATTTGATATCGATCAAGACTCAGGAGTACAATAATATTTATTTTACTCAGTATTTTAATATATAATCAGCCTTTATTGCGGCGGGGGGTGGGGGCGGGTTCTGTGTAGCCCTGCCTGTCCTAGAACTCACTCTATACACCAGGCTGGTGAACACATATAACTCTTAGAAATAAAACAAAAAGATTAATTTAAGTTTTCTGAGGCTTTTTGTATATCATTTATGCTCAGTTCTCTATTTTCTCCATAAAACACTAACTAAGCTCAGTGTTCCAATAATAAATTGGAAAGAACTTTAATATGTCACTCTACTCTGTGGGACAACATTGTTTTTTTTTTTTTTTTTTTTGGTTTTTCGAGACAGGGTTTCTCTGTGACTTTGGAACCTGTCTGTCCTGGAACTAGCTCTGTAGACCAGGCTGGTCTCGAACTCACAGAGATCCGCCTG